GCTGGGGATTAGGACATAGGTGCACGATTACGGGCCACATGTTTGACAGGACGGGGCGGTTCGAGAGCCCAGTCAAGGTCGGGCGAACCGGCCGCGCCGAGACCGAAGTGGAAGGCGGCGGGCGAGAAGACGGCGGAAGGCTGATTGGCGGAGGGGCGGGTGGCGGAGGGGCAGGATGGGCTTCCAGTATCGGACCTTCAAGACATGCGCTTTTGGCCGGTGGCCTCCTCGGACAGCTGGCGCTTGCTTGAGCACTTGAGCACTGGATAGGGTCGATTCCGCATGCTACGGGACCCCTCCATCGTCTCGCCCACCCTCACTGGTGTGTTCATCGGGGGGGGTCATAACAAACCGAGGTCGAGCTACAAGAGGAACTTGTTCAGCAGGATCCGGGATAGTCTGGCGACTCTGGCGGGATGTTGTCTTCAGCTGATTAATTTCTCCTCTGACGCTCTTGTGTCACGCGGTGTGTCGTGTGCACAGTGTGAAGAGAGATCAGTGTCCCACACCCAGTGACACGGGGGTGGAGAAGTTTGCTTTACCTTACCGCTTACGCCTTACCTTACCTTACCTAACTCGCAGTCACGGCTCGCGCATGTGCAGAACATCACGTGTGCAATGCCGCGCGCCGCGCACCTCCTTTTGCTCGCTCGTCCTTCGGCCGTCGCCAGGCGGGGAAGAGGTTTCCCGCGTGGAGGCGACGGCGTCATGCTCGAGCAAAGGAGGGAGATCGGCACGCGGCCAGAGGACTGCTCAGGCTGCCCCGGCTGCCGCCAGCACCTCCTCGATATTGGGCGTGGCGCCCGGCACCTCGTCGCTGTGCGCGAAGAGCACCTCGTCGCCGTCGATCGCGTACGTGCCGCCCAGCACCTTGACGCCCTCGGGGAACTCGCCAAACTTCATGCCCTTGGGCACGGGCGAGAGCGAGCCCACATTCTTGAGGTAGGTCATCCATTTGCCCATCCCCATGGCCTTGGGCGGCTTGAAGTCCGGCGGCTTCTCGAGCTGCTTTTCCCCTAGCTTGAGGTTGAAGCCGGCCGCCCTGTAGCCGGCAAAGTCGGGCGAGTCGTCGATCAGAGCCTTTGCGCCCGTGAGCTCCGGGTTGACCTCGAGGAACTGCTTGAGCTGGTCGGGACGGCCGACAGAGATGAAGAGCGGACCCGCGACGCCGGCGGCGGCGAGACGCGGCGTCTCGCGCGGCCAGTTGAGCGCGTAGTCCCAGCACAGCGGTCACCCGAGGTGGCGGAGGAAGATCACCACCGCCTTGCCCTCGTCGCCAATCGCGCTGCACACAGGCTCGCGGTTGCCGTCGGCGTTCGCGAGCACCATACTGCGTAGCTTGCGGCCCGTCACGCGGACGTCATTCATCACCACGCCCTGCGGCTCTGCGCAGCCGCAGTCCGCGCCGGCTGACGTCGGCTCCAACGAGACGTCCACTCCGCTGGACGTCTCTGCCAGACACAACCGATGCAGCGAGCGCAGAGCGCCGGCTTGGGCAGCGACAGACGTCACGGCTTGGGCAGCGACAGACGTCACGTGCGATCCCACGTGGAAGCCGGACACGGCGTGGGCAGCAGCGAGGAGCATCGAATTCGGTATCGATGGGGAAAAGTAGGGAACCTCCATGTTTTTCTTTTTTGTCCGTGGATGGACGAGAGAGCAGTTTGTAGAGATGCAGAGCGCTCGCGTAGGCACTGGTACTCGAGGGTAGGTGCTCGTAGCGTAGGAGGGAGATGCCTCAGTG